CAAACATGGATGGAGAGCGGGGGAAGGGTCCGGTAAATAAGTCACATTTCCTTTCCTGAATGAACACAATGAGCGAGCGGTAGTAGTGATCACTCACTGTATTCATTCAAACTATTTTTTTTGTAGGGGGGGTATGCCTGTCAGGTTGGCTGTGTGGGGCCCCCATGGTATCCAACAGCGCCCCGTGCATACTGTCCTCCGCCCCTACAGAGAACAGAGCGGCATGGGAGAGGGCGTTGCGGTGCGATTCATCCACACCAATTTCATCGTAATAAACATGAAGGAAGCTGAGATTTCATTAGCAGCGCGATAAGCGATATTTGTTCTGTCCGTAATAAAGGAGATTATAAATTCATTACCAAATGTCTGATATCAGGACAATAAAAATCCGTGTCTGCTACAAATCATGGCGGAGCTGTTCACCAATCAGGGGGGGGTGTACGGGGGGGAGGTTAAAAGATCTTTTTTTATTTATATCAGATTACTAATGGTTTTACACTTTTTTCTCTTTTTTTAACTTTATTACTATCACAAGGTGGCATACAAGCCCCTCCCCCCATGTGGTAGCATTGGACAGGTGACAGGTCCTCTTTATGGACCCCCAATGTCCCCCCCACCCTCCAGTACAGATCATGTATGAATAGCTGCATCCTTGGCTACACCAACCGAAGAATGACAACTGTGACCCCCCAGAAGTGACCCCCAGAGTACACATCACCCTGGGGTCATCAGTCACAGGGGGAATCCGGTCATCAGTCACAGGGGGGATCCGGTCATTAGTCACTGGGAGGATCCGGTCATCAGTCACAGGGGGGATCCGGTCATCAGTCACATGGGGGATCCGGTCATCAGTCACAGGGGGGATCCGGTCATTAGTCACAGGGGGGATCCGGTCATTAGTCACAGGGGGGATCCGGTCATTATTCACAGGGGGGATCCGGTCATCAGTCACAGGGGGGATCCGGTCATCAGTCACAGGGGGGATCCGGTCATCAGTCACAGGGGGGATCCGGTCATCAGTCACAGGGGGGATCCGGTCATCAGTCACAGGGGGATCCGGTCATTAGTCACAGGGGGGATCCGGTCATTAGTCACAGGGGGGATCCGGTCATTAGTCACAGGGGGATCCGGTCATTAGTCACAGGGGGGATCCGGTCATTAGTCACAGGGGGGATCCGGTCATTAGTCACAGGGGGGATCCGGTCATTAGTCACGGGGATTCCGGTCATTAGTCACAGGGGGGATCCGGTCATTAGTCACAGGGGGATCCGGTCATTAGTCACAGGGGGGATCCGGTCATTAGTCACAGGGGGGATCCGGTCATTAGTCACAGGGGGGATCCGGTCATTAGTCACGGGGATTCCGGTCATTAGTCACAGGGGGATCCGGTCATTAGTCACAGGGGGGATCTGGTCATTAGTCACAGGGGGGATCCGGTCATTAGTCACAGGGGGGATCCGGTCATTAGTCACAGAGGAGGGATCCGGTCATTAGTCACAGGGGGGATCCGGTCATTAGTCACAGGGGGGATCCGGTCATTAGTCACAGGGGGATCCGGTCATTAGTCACAGGGGGGATCCGGTCATTAGTCACAGGGGGATCCGGTCATTAGTCACAGGGGGGATCCGGTCATTAGTCACAGGGGGATCCGGTCATTAGTCACAGGGGGGATCCGGTCATTAGTCACGGGGATTCCGGTCATTAGTCACAGGGGGGATCCGGTCATTAGTCCTGTTATAAGCCGCCATTACTAGAATAAAAATGTAAAATAAATCCCAGTATCTATCCCGCCATTTGTAAATGCTAAAACTTCCACGTAAACCGATTCATTTCCACGTATTGGGATTTGTTTCAGCGAAGACACGGAGCGGGAGACACGGAAGACACAGAGCGGGAGACACGGAAGACACGGAGTGGGAGACATGGAATACACGGAGCAGGAGACACGGGAGACACGGAGCTGGAGACACGGAAGACATGGAGCGGGAGACATGGAAGACACGGAGCGGAAGACATAGAGCGGGAGACACGGAAGACACGGAGCAGGAGGCACGGAAGACACAGAGCGGGAGACACGGAAGACACGGAGCGGGGACACGGAAGACACGGAGCGGGAGACATGGAAGACACGGAGCGGGAGACCAGGAAGACACGGAGCTGGAGACACGGAAGACACGGAGTGGGAGACCAGGAAGACACGGAGCTGGAGACACGGAAGACACGGAGTGGGAGACACGGAAGACAGGGAGCGGGAGACATTTTGGATGAAATTTATGACGAAATTTGATTTTTAATATCTGTTTACTGGAAGTGTTTAATAGCAAAAAGTCGAAAATATAGGTTTTTTCAAAATTGTTGATTTTTAAAAAAAAAAAAAACAAAAAAAAACGTACTAACAAAAGAAAGCGCTATTTGTGGGGGGAAGGATGTAAATTTCATTTGGTTGCTGTGCTGCATGACCGCGCAATCGCCAGTTAGAGTAACGCAGCGCCGTGTCGAAAAAAAAATGGCCTAGTCAGGAAGGGGGGGGGGGAATCCTTCGGGGTGGGGGGGGAGGGAATCTTCCGGAGGGCAAGTGTTTTTTTTTCCCACAAGGACAATTCTTTGATTCGCATGTAAACATGACAAATGTATAGAATGTTACATTGTATCCATGAATGGAGCCTGGAGCTGCTGTTTGCAGACTTTGTGTACACAGGAGTCTCCGCCGGCAGGAGAGTCGCTCTCCCGGTGTCACCGTCACTGACATGGCAAATGTTCATTTGTGTTCTCTCTCCTAGTAGCCCAAGCTGGCCCTTACTTGCCAACACCGGAACCCCCACATATTGGCATCCAACACTGCGAACATGCTTACAGGGAGCACACCGGGGGGGGGGGGCCTTGAACTGCTGATTTGTAAGGAGTTTGTAAACACGAACATCTTGTTGTCGTCTCTTAAATATACAACTTTTTGTTACATTTGTTTGAAAAGTTCAAAAATGAATTCCTGTGGATCCTGCCAGAAATCTGGTGATCTGAGAGCATCCTGCGCGCCTCTTATTGGTTACATTGTTTTCTTCTCTCTTTAGGGACACAATGCAGATGCCTTCCGGAGGCGTTTCCACATCTGCATTTTTGATGCGTTTTTGATGCTTTCCTGTTCATTTTTTCCCCTCTGATTTTCTTCACTTTTAATAGTGACGCGTGTGTTCTGGTGTGTTTTGGGCACATTTCTATGCGTTTTTAATGCATTTTTGACGCGTTCCGGTGCATTTTTGATACATTACTGTTTATTTTTTACCTGGTTTTTTTTCATTTCAAATAGGGACATGTGCATTCCGATGCGTTTTAATGCATTTGCCACGTTCTGGTGCGTTTTTGATGCTTTCCAGTTCATTTTTTTCCTCTCTGTTTTTCTTCACTTTAAATAGGGACACGTGTTCCAGTGTGTTTTTTGGTGCGTTTTGATACATTTTAATGCATTTTTTACACGGTCCGGTGTGTTTTTGATGCTTTCCGGTTCATTTTTTTCCCCTCTGTCTTTCTTCACTTTACATAGGAACATGCGCATTCCGGTGCTTTTTTGGCGCGTTTCAATTCATTTTAATGCATTTTTTACGCGTTCCGGTGCGTTTTTGATGCTTTACGGTTATTTTTCCCCTTTTTTTCCATTTAAATAGCGTCATGTGCAATTTTGGTGCATTTCAATTCGTTTTAATGCATTTGCCACATTCCAGAGTGTTTTTGATGCTTTCTGGTTCAATTTTTTCCTCTCTGTTTTTCTTCACTTTAAAGAGGGGCGTGTGCGTTCCAGTGTGTTGTTGGTGCGTTTTGATTCATTTTATTGCATTTTTTACATGTTATGGTGCGTTTTTGATGCTTTCCGGTTCCTTTTCCCTTCTGTTTTTCTTCAATTTAAATTGGGACATGTGCGTTTTTGGCGCATTCCGATGCTTTTTAATGCATTTACCGTGTTCCAGTGCGTTTTTGATGCTTTCAGGTTAATTTTTTTCTCCTGTTCTTCTTCACTTTAAATAGGGACATATGCGTTTTTTGTGCACTTCGGTGTGTTTTAATGCATTTTTGACTCGTTCTGGTGCTTTTTTGGTGCTTTCCAGTTCATTTTTTCCCCTCTGATTTTCTTCAATTGAAATAGGGACATGTGCGTTTTTTGCCGCGTTTCGATTCATTTTAATGCATTTGACACGTTGCGGTGCGTTTTTGATGCTTTCCAGTTCATTTTTGATTTCTGATTTTCTTCCATTAAAATAAGGACATGTGCGTTTTTGGTAGATTTTACCGCGTTCCAGTACAGTCCTGTGCAGGAAACATGTAGCCGGTTCTTCTTTTTTTTCTGCATCCGGAACGCACCGGAACTGCAAGCGCTGATGTGAACTATGACACCGACCTCCATATCACCGACTTTCTGTGCGTTTCGGAAAGAAAGCAACTGCATGGAGTGTAAACTGGTCCTTAAAGTGGTTCTAAAGCCTAAGAGTGGAGCTCCACCCAAAAGTGGAAGCTTCGCTTTTCTGCCTCCTCCCTCCGCTGCCACGATTGGCACCTTTTGGGGGGGGGGTGTGGCTTTGACAGGTACCCGATCCCACTTCCGGCTCAGTATGCCGCGGCACCCCTCTCAGCCCTCTGGTCCCAGTCCAAGGTCCCAGATTACTGCAGCCCATTCACAATTCGCAGAGTGCTTTGCGCATGCGCAGTAGGAAAGTGGCGGCGAAGCAGCAAGGTTTCCCTTAGTCAAGATGGCGGAGCCAGCACATGACAGCTGACTGAAGAATCAGCTCAGGGTGAGGACTGGCCCCTGGACAGGTAGGGGCCCTAATATCAAAAGTCAGCCGTCACAGGATTTGTAGCTGTAGGTGGCGGGGGGCCGGAACTCCGCTTTAAGGTCTTCATTCAGAGAGATCACATGACCCGCCCCGTTCTGCTACATCTTCCACCTGCTGCAAAGTGACAGTTTAAAAAAATAAATAAATCCTGCAACCCCCCCTCCTGCCCCGCCCGCTCCCCCCCCCCCCGCCCGCGGTTTGCTAACCATAGAACGCGTTTACTCCACTGTAAAATCCGCCTCCAAACATCTGCTTCCCATAACGCGGTTACATGGCCGACTGCCTTCAGAGAGCGAACTACTAATGGAAGTCGCCGAGACGGGAAACCGACCCGCCGTGTTCTCTGTGCAGATGGCCGAAGATAATGCTAAGTGCTGGACTTCACCCTGATCCGACCCGAGATCGCCTCCCCCGGAGGTCGCTCCGCCCTGATCCGACCCGAGATGGCCTCCCGGAGGTCGCTCCGCCCTGATCTGACCCGAGATCGCCTCCCTGAGGTCGCTCCGCCCTGATCTGACCCGAGATCGCCTCCCGGAGTTCGCTCCGCCTCGCCTCCCAGAGGTCGCTCCGCCCTGATCCGACCCGAGATCGCCTCCCGGAGTTCGCTCCGCCTCGCCTCCCAGAGGTCGCTCCGCCCTGATCCGACCCGAGATCGCCTCCCGGAGGTCGCTCCGCCCTGATCCGCCCCGGGATCGCCTCCCGGAGGTCGCTCCGCCCTGATCCAACCCGAGATCACTTCCCGGAGGTCGCTCCACCCTGATCCGACCCGAGATCGCCTCCCGGAGGTCGCTCCGCCCTGATCTGACCCGAGATCGCCTCCCGGAGTTCGCTCCGCCTCGCCTCCCGGAGGTCGCTCCGCCCTTATCCGACCCGGGATCGCCTCCCGGAGGTCGCTCCGCCCTGATCCGACCCGGGATCGCCTCCCGGAGGTCGCTCCGCCCTGATCCGACCCGAGATCGCCTCCCGGAGGTCGCTCCGCCCTGATCCGACCCGAGATCGCCTCCCGGAGGTCGCTCCGCCCTGATCCGACCCGAGATCGCCTCCCGGAGGTCGCTCCGCCCTGATCCGACCCGAGATCGCCTCCCGGAGGTCGCTCCGCCCTGATCCGACCCCGGGATCGCCTCCCGGAGGTCGCTCCGCCCTGATCCGACCCGAGATCGCCTCCCGGAGGTCGCACCGCCCTGATCCGACCCGGGATCGCCTTCCGGAGGTCGCTCCGCCCTGATCCGACCCGAGATCGCCTCCCGGAGGTCGCTCCACCCTGATCCGATCTGAGATCGCCTCCCGGAGGTCGCTCCACCCCTGATCCGACCCGAGATCGCCTCCCGGAGTTCGCTCCGCCTCGCCTCCCGGAGGTCGCTCCGCCCTGATCCGACCCGAGATCGCCTCCCGGAGGTCGCTCCGCCCTGATCCGACCCGGGATCGCCTCCCGGAGGTCGCTTCGCCCTGATCCGACCCGGGATCGCCTCCCGGAGGTCGCTCCGCCCTGATCCGACCCGGGATCGCCTTCCGGAGGTCGCTCCGCCCTGATCTGACCCGGGATCGCTTCCCGGAGGTCGCTCCGCCCTGATCCGACCCGAGATCGCCTCCCGGAGGTCGCTCCGCCCTGATCCGACCCGGGATCGCCTCCCGGAGGTCGCTCCGCCCTGATCCGACCCGGGATCGCCTCCCGGAGGTCGCTCCGCCCTGATCCGACCCGGGATCGCCTTCCGGAGGTCGCTCCGCCCTGATCCGACCCGAGATCGCCTCCCGTAGGTCGCTCCCGCCGCGGACCCTGACATGTGACAAAGACCGCCGACTCCCACCAACTACGTGGCAAAATTAATAACTCAGCACAGGGATGGTGGGAACCCCTCATAATGGGCACACCGGGAAGTGTCTGGACTGGAAGGGGGGGAAAGTGTCCAGACAACAGTGGGCTGTGTCATGAGATTGCCACTTGTAGTCTCCATCAGAAGCCAGTATTCACTGTATCCGCTCTCCCCGGACCCCGCATTCACTATATCCGCTCTCCCCGGACCCCGCATTCACTATATCCGCTCTCCCCCGGACCCCGCATTCACTATATCCGCTCTCCCCGGACCCCGCATTCACTATATCCGCTCTCCCCGGACCCCGCATTCACTATATCCGCTCTCCCCGGACCCCGCATTCACTATATCCGCTCTCCCCGGGCCCCGCATTCACTATATCCGCTCTCCCCGGACCCCGCATTCACTATATCCGCTCTCCCCGGACCCCGCATTCACTATATCCGCTCTCCCCGGACCCCGCATTCACTATATCCGCTCTCCCCGGACCCCGCATTCACTATATCCGCTCTCCCCGGACCCCGCATTCACTATATCCGCTCTCCCCGGGCCCCGCATTCACTATATCCGCTCTCCCCGGACCCCGCATTCACTATATCCGCTCTCCCCGGACCCCGCATTCACTATATCCGCTCTTTTCGGACCCCGCATTCACTGTATCCGCTCTCCCCGGACCCCGCATTCACTATATCCGCTCTCCCCGGACCCCGCATTCACTATATCCGCACTCCCCGGACCCCGCATTCACTATATCCGCTCTCCCCGGACCCCGCATTCACTATATCTGCTCTCCCCGGACCCCGCATTCACTGTATCCGCTCTCCCCGGACCCCGCATTCACTATATCCGCTCTCCCCGGACCCCGCATTTACTATATCCGCTCTCCCCCCCGACCCCGCATTCCCTATATCCGCTCTCCCCGGACCCCGCATTCCCTATATCCGCTCTCCCCGGACCCCGCATTCACTATATCCGCTCTCCCACAGTACAGAGAACATAGAAATGCAATTATTTTAGTAAATATAAACTGCTAAATCCCTTTTCTCATCAGCAGTATATAGCAGTCTTGTGACTTCTATCAGTGTCCAGCAGAGCACTGGTTAAAGCTTGTAGGAGGAGTTTTCATTCTCCCCTGACTGTCCTATGAGGCTGTATGACCCCTGACCCTCTGTCTGGACAGCTTTTATTGTCCCTGTGCTGATGACATGAACTCTCCCCCTCCCAAAACAACTCTCAAGCAATACACACCAAACTGAGCATGTGCAGAGTGCTTCCTAGAGCTCTGTACTATCAGCAGATGGATTGGGGACAGTAGAAGAAGGGGAGGATCAGAGAAGTCAGGATCAAACAGCCTTTTTCCACAATGCAGAGGATTAACCCCTTAGGTCCCACAGTGAGTATACCCAGCATGCTTTGCTGCATCTACAGACGGATTGGACTGTTGTGGGTTCAGGAACACTTTAAAGCCTCTGTGAGATTTACTGGCCGGCTTTCCATCTATGAGCTCTATGTTTGAGCTGAACATCGGCCGTTCGCCACCCGCCACGCCCCACAATGCTCTGCTTCCCGACAGTGCGTTGTGATTGGCCAAAGCAATGCAGCCGACTACAGGTGCCAATCACAGTGCATGATGACGTCACAAGGGGATGGGTGACCCCGCCCCCTTGTGATGTCATCACACTATTGAAGAACTGTCATTCCTGCACAGCTGTCAGACGGCGGGATCGATGCCGCAGGGTATTTTTTCTTCTTTCGGGTGGCGGCGGCGGGGGGCATCGTGATCGGTGTTGGGTCGACTTCGGGGGGCATTTTTTAAATTCTTGTTTTAATAAAAGATTTGTCACAGAGCGTCTCCTGTCATTGTTTACACTACACTGTTTTTTTGTGAATGGGTACCCCCCCCCCGCCCCCAGACCCCCACAACCACCAGCCACTGTTGTGGGAAGGAGGCCCTTGTCCCTATCAACATGGGGACAATGTACTGTCGAGTGGGGGAGCCCCAAAGCACCCCCCATGTTGAAGGTATGTGGTCTATTATGTTCAGGAGGGGGCTCTCACTCATCCCCCCCCCTTTCCTGACCTGCCGGGCTGCATGCTCATATAAGGGTCTGGTATGGATTTTGGGGGGGACCCCCACACCATTTTTTAAAAAAGATTTGGTGTGGGGGGGGGTTCCCTCAAAATCCATACCAAACCCGAAGGGCTTGGTATGAATAGGGGGGGGAGACACACAAATTTTTTTTTTAATTTTTGAATTGCTGGCAATTCTTTTTCCATTCATTGGTCAGTGGGGAACCCCACCGCAAGTGGAACCATGAATGGATGTCTCACTACAAAAATACCTTCATCATAGAACTCCCGCCGGATTGTAGTCGCTGAGCGGGATCGCACCACATACTCAGATGCCGGAAGATACCGCTTAGTGAATCGTGTGCCTTCATCATGGAACTGCTGCCGGATTGTAGTCGCTGAGCGGGATCGCACCACATATTCAGATGCCGGAAGAGACCACTTAGTGAATTGCGTGCCTTCATCATGGAACTGCTGCCGGATTGTAGTCACTGAGCGGGATCGCACCACATACTCAGATGCAGGAAGATACCGCTTAGTGAATCGTGTGCCTTCATCATGGAACACCCGCCGGATTGTAGTCGCTGAGTGGGATCGCACCACATACTCAGATGCCGGAAGAGACCACTTAGTGAATTGCGTGCCTTCATCATGGAACTCCCGCCGGATTGTAGTCGCTGAGCGGGATCGCACCACATACTCAGATGCAGGAAGAGACCACTTAGTGAAACGTGTGCCTTCATCATGGAACTCCCGCCGGATTGTAGTCGCTGAGCGGGATCGCACCACATACTCAGATGCAGGAAGATACCGCTTAGTGAATCATGTGCCTTCATCATGGAACTCCCGCTGGATTGTAGTCGCTGAGCGGGATCGCACCACATACTCAGATGCAGGAAGAGACCGCTTAGTGAATCGTGTGCCTTCATCATGGAACACCCGCCGGATTGTAGTCGCTGAGCGGGATCGCACCACATACTCAGATGCAGGAAGAGACCGCTTAGTGAATCGTGTGCCTTCATCATGGAACTCCCGCCGGATTGTAGTCGCTGAGCGGGATCGCACCACATACTCAGATGCCGGAAGAGACCACTTAGTGAATTGAAGTTCACAGTCGAACTTTCGGCAGGTTCAAATGTTTGACCGTGAACTGAACCGGGGGGGGGGGGGTGTTCTGCCCAGGGGCAGACTGACAACTCATGGGGCCCCTGGGCAATAGGGGATCATGGGGCCCCTGTGTCCTTGCCCAAATTCAAAAAAGCCTATGAAAAAGGTACCAGGGGCATCTCATGGGGCCCCTCACTGACCCCGGGCCCTCGGGCAGTGCCCAACTTTCCAAATGGTCAGTCTGCCCCAGGTTCTGCCCATCACTATTCATCACAGTCTGAGAACTGATTGTCCTTTCGGAGCTCATGTTGGGGCATTAGATGGTAAGCTCTTGTGCTTGAGGGTGATAAAGGCGCTGAACAGGGGCAGACTGACAACTCATGGGGCCCCCGGGCAATAGGGGATCATGGGGCCCCTGTGCCCTCACCCACACTCAAACCATACCCAAAAAAAAGCCTATGAAAAGATACCAGGGGCATCTCTTGGGGCCCCCTACTGACCCCGGGCCCTCGGGCAGTGCCTGAATGGTCAGTCGGCCCCTGGCGCTGAGTATGTAGAAAGTGCTGCTGGAATGGAAATGTCTCCTGGAAGCCTCCTGGTGATGAATCTGGAGTCGCAGATATTGGGATCTCCTGATCTCCTGCCTATGGAGTCGCAGATATTGGGATCTCTTGATCTCCTGCCTATGGAGTCGCAGATATTGGGATCTCCTGATCTCCTGCCTATGGAGTCGCAGATATTGGGATCTCCTGATCTCCTGCCTATGGAGTCGCAGATATTGGGATCTCCTGATCTCCTGCCTATGGAGTCGCAGATATTGGGATCTCCTGATCTCCTGCCTATGGAGTCGCAGATATTGGGATCTCCTGATCTCCTGCCTATGGAGTCGCAGATATTGGGATCTCCTGATCTCCTGCCGTGTCCCCGGTGAGATCTCTATGGATTGCTGTGTACTGCGCCCATACATATGCAGAGAGATAAGCGGCACTCCTCCCTCGTCAGGCTCTCCGTCCCCTCCTGCTCCTGGCTCTCTTTCCCATCTCGCCTGCTCTGGCAGTATCCTTGGAAATGCTCGGCTCGCAGTCCTCGTCCAGAACTGGCACCCACCGATGTGACGCCGGGCAGGACTCGAAGAGGTAAGTTCCATCTTCCACTTCCACCGCCGCAGAATTACCCAAAGAATGGCGCCAAAATGCTGCGCCAAGGGCAGCCACCCATCGCTTAACCAATTTACAAATCAAACCAAATCGACCAATTTTTTAAAATCCTTGACAGGCAGGTCTGTGTGGTGGTCCCGGATCGGCAATTGCGCCATCTTTGTGGTTGTCGCGCGTCGCCTTGGCGTATAATCGCTTGGTTTGGGTATTTGTGGTCTTCCCGGGCAGGTTAGAAAAACTGCAATCAATGAGAATGATTTAAGGGATATTCCTGAGAGTCCGCTGGATCCGGCGCTGCCTGATTATCGGGTCGGCAAGAGACCGACCGACGCACTACAAGCCATAATGGCGGTCGATTGAATAAAACGATGATTTTAGCGCAATTGTGGTAGAACGTATCGATTTCATTTAATTCTGGAAAGGATCATTCACCTGCCTCGTTTCTGCAATGAGCATTGGATCGGTAGCAGCGCCTTCTTTTCCTTTTTCAACCGACGCACTACTCGCGACATTTTGACGCACGGCTCCAGATATTAGAGTAGAACATACACACACGACTCGAGATTGCGCTGCAGATTTCCTGGTGTGTGGGGTCATCTCTGATGGATTAGCATTTGTTCCCTTTCTGCTTAGGCTCCCACCTATGCAGTTTGCGTTTTATCCGTTTCTGCAGTGCGTTTTTGCCGTGTTTTTGATGCATTTTGCGTTTTTTTTTTCAACTTGTCGCTGGACAGATTAAAATGCAAAACGCATCAAAAACACATCATAAACGCATCATAAACGCATCAAGAACACATCACATGCTTTTCTGCAGCTTCTCCAATGATGTCTATAGAATCAAAAACGCAACGTTTTGCGTTTTAAAAAGTCCCTAAACTTTCCCAAATAAAGGCACCGGGTGAAAACACGCAGATGTGAACCGGTCCCATAGGAAATCATGTTACATGAACTGCTGTGCGTTTCTGCAAAACGCATCGGAAAACGCTGAGGTGTGAACCTAGACTTAGCCCGCGGTTCACACTGACGCGGTGCGGAATTTGCAGCGTTTTCTGTGTGAATTCCGCACCGCATCACAATCGCACCCCGTTCATACGAACCGCTGCGGGTGTGTATTTTAAGTTAACGACACCCCAAAATCATTTTGCAAAACGCAGTGCGATGTGCAGAATCGGATCGCGTGGGTTTGAACACTCAGGCGATCCGATTCTGGTGTGGACTAAAAAAGGGTCCTGTACTTTTTTTGTTGCAAATGTGGTGCAGTTTGAGAAATCGCATGTGATCTGCAGGGAATGCGGTGCGGTTCCTTCACGAATCACATGCGATGTGCCGCACTGCATCAGTGTGAACCCGGACTGAATGTGGGAACGGTCCCTGAGCCATGCAGCTGGAAGAACGCAGCAGTCTCCGGTGGTGCCGCAATCTTCACATTGGCTGGGGGCCCCCATCTGATACCCTAGGGCAGCTGTAAAGTGAACTGGTCATTGGGGCGGCATGATCTCCTGCAACTGCCATCTGCCCGAATAAAATGCAGACCCCCCTAAAGTATTGAAGCCTTTGGATCAGCATGACAGTCAGGCAGTCAGCAGTTGTAGGAGAGCTCAGCACCGGTTCAGGTTTATTGTAAGTTTTTAAACCATTTAAAACCG